GTGATCGTCCCTGCAGATTCTAACTGTTACATATTTCAACACTTTCAGTGTATTCACGCTTTAGAAAAGGTTATTTAATGCCACTTAGAAAACAACTGCATTCAGTACGGTGCGAATTATTTTTTGCTAAAGTTGTGGTGTGTCACTTGCAATGTTTGCGGCAGGAGGGGACATCAACGAAGGGCAGCTGTTTATTTAACTCCTCCATTGTAAGTCGATTGTTTGGCAAGACGGTGTTGAGATGTCCTTTAAATACAAGACCTGATCACGCTCGAAAACGACAAGGTTGTCATTCAGAAGCTTGGTTTGCTTAACAGGTTTGTGGCCCTTGTGAACGACGCTGAAATGCGAATTGAATGGGAAGTTGTTTACACAGGATAACTCAGGTGCAATATCGCTGACTAATCAGTACATGCGAAAAGCTCAAGAACCTATCCTGGTCCCTTTCGTGGCATTTAGAAGTTGTACAAAGCTGGTGTCTTTCCCATGCCAATCGTATCACTCAAAAAAATACTACAACTTCATGGCTGGCAAAGTAGGGATTAAATTGCAACAATTAATGGCTCAGGTTCGCAAAACTTTGGCGCGAAGAGTGTGGGATTTGGAAAAATAGTATTGCTGGCAAAGATAAGGGAGACTGAAATGAACGCTTTTGGCTTATTTGCCTGAAGCGTGCTACAGATTGGTTAGGACAGTCACCTCGATTGACTTATTCTGTTTCGGGGGGGGTTTGTGTGGGTTTTGAAACATTCCATTTTCTTCGGAATACAGCTTTCATTGATTTCACTGACCGGGAATAGTAGCTTTGGTAAAGCCTTCGAGAAAGCCGAATTAACAAACAATTTTTGACTTATTTCATAGCTTTTAAACACCTACCTCTCGCGTTTTAAGTTCATAAACACCTTTTCCTCCCTTTACAGCAAAGGCTCACTTTCACTTTTGTAAGTAACATCCTCGGCACAATGATCCCCTTATTCTAGAAAGCGACTGGAGTCTTTTGAATTACAATTGTATATTCACACACATAAAAATACGACGCTTTTAAATCCTGTTGTATATTAGACAGCTTCGGTCTCCTGGCAAACCCCTTGGATAAGTCAATGAACAAGTTATTTCTTGAGGCCACGTTCTTTCCTGTCAAATTATGGTATACTATTACCTCTTAAAACAAATAAAAAAGCGAAGGCTGGCTAACGAGATGGCGGTTTTATCGCAAGGGGTTAAGTATGTTAAACCCTGACAACTGCAACCTTCAGACCATGGTTACTTAGTGGAGAAGTCTTGAGAAGGCCAGCGTAGTAGGAAGAGTATATTGTGTACACAGAGGAACGAAGAATAGATGGAAGAAGTCTGACTTGGGAGAACACGACCAGCCAGGATGCCGGCCGTGGTCCAAGTTCTGGTTTGACAGTAGTAAGGCCAGTAGACAGAGAGATAACGTGCATTGGCTGGGTCTGCCTTGCGGTTTTTGGCCAGGCAGATAGATTGTGTCGGGAACGCGTGCAAGCTTGCTATTCATCGTCTCGCTAAGTACCAGCTATGCGCCATCTGTGATTGGCTGTTCGCAGACGTCGAAAACCACATCGGCGGGCCTCTGGGAAATGGCACTTCGACGCGAGCTAGTCACAACAGTCTTCATGTTTACCGCTCGAATTCGGGACGGTTAAAGACGAACCTTTATCTTTTAACTATATATTCGTATTTTATTGTTCCTTTTGGCTGAACTTCTTATATTCGCCCTCTCTGGTGTAGTGATTCACCGTAGGCAGATGTCAGTAAACACTGTGTTCGTGCATGGTGTTTTCAAATGCCATGCTAGCGTATACACTATAATCGAATTCTGGGGATTCAATTTCGCTTTTAATCAGTGTTCTGCACGAGTATTTTTCAGTTGGGTCTTGGTTAGGTTTTTGAACTTGCTGTACAACTTAAGAGGAATCTAGGTCTCTCTCTCTCTTACACATAAACTCTCAACAAAATAAAGTTCATGTACACCTTACACGTGCTCAGGTCCAGTAGATCTCGCCTTGTTGACAACGCATGTTACGGATTGCAAAGATTCTCACCTCAAAGCTTTATGTAAGTGCAGTCCCGGAGCCAAACAGTATAAGTCAATCAAACATCCCTTTTGGCTCACGTATAAACACATGCGTGAGAACGGATTTTCTCCACGCTTTTTTCTTTCAACGACACGCAAAATTGTCAAATCCTCATTTTACACTTTCGTGCTGCTTTGATGCGGCACAACTTGTGACACAAACAAATTGTATTTGGCGGTGTTCCCTGGTGGGAGAATTTGCGTGCCGCTTTTCAAAAACGTGTTTACGAGCTCCGTGACTACATGTTCAGCAAACCGTAAAGATCACAACGATTCAGCCCGTCATCTGGGTAAAGCTGTCTAGCCAAAGTTAAAACGTACTCTAGAGGTTTAGAAGCCGCAGCTTTTCTGAACTATTGACCGTGGCAGGGCAACCGACACTATAAGATCGGGTAATGCAAAAATGAGGTACAGTTTAAATTATGGGTTTTTCCCGGTCTGACGGTCCGATAATTCTGTCAAAACAAATTTTCAACTTGCTTGAATGGCGGTACTTTGGTTCCCATATCAAAAAGAATTAGAGGTTAATATAAGAGGCCTTACTGCCTTTATAAGCCTTTGATATTGCAAAAGATTAATCCATTAGCTCTCGCTCTCTCTCTCTAGAACTACTTTCGACTGAGGTTCTGCTGATTTCTCGGATTAAAGTGCTCATAGCATAGTAACATGTTTAAAGTGTAGTTGCAAACTCCTTCTACTGACTGACGCTTTACGAATTCCTACTATTGTATTGAAGCTAAAGACGCTGGGATCTGAATTTCAGGCAATATAAGTAAAACAACAACGAGCAATTCATATGCTTGCGAACTTAGTGCACATTGAGCGGTTTTTATAGCAAGATGATAAATGGCACTTAAGTTTCACTTGAAGCTACCAAACTAGAGCCGTGGCATACTGTCGTCTGGCGACAGGCAATTGGCAGACTCAGTGAGTCAAGGGTTGTCGTGTCGATCGCAATGCCAAGACTCGACACTTGACATCAGGCCCGTCACTTGGTGCAAGATTAAAATTTTGTACTTCACAGAGTTAAAAGGCGCGAGAGTAAATACGGCTGGGAATGCACCTCATGGCCTATTTATCGCCAGCACACAGTCATTCCCCAAGCCCAGGCCGCAGGATCGAAGTTGTGAACTTGGATCATTTGATTGACGAGCATTTTAGTCAAATGTCCTAGTGGCGAAGCTATGACTCGAGTATTTTTGATTATTGACTGCTCATTGTTATTTAAATGCCTTCCTGGGGTCTGTACTGGAGACTCAGGTTATAAGGCTACCATGCATGTTGCGCCCAATGAGCAAGAAGGAGGATAAGCGCCACTTACACATGTCCTTCAGAATTCCCAACTGCAGTCGTGGCAGAACTGTTAACCCGACTTCACCTTGGGTAGTTCTCTCAGATCCAAATGGATTGCAATTGCTTGGGTTCCGTATGGTTTGCTGCTGGTAGCTAATAAGACCGAGA